TTGGTCAAAAAATATATTTGGAAGTGTGACCTTCCTCAGTTCCCAGTGAACCAGCCGTGGTGGACGTCTCACCGAGGTACATGCTCCACATGTACGACCTAATGCAGGGATCTCCTCGTAGCACCATACTAGAAACGCTCAGTGAAATCCGAAGATATGATATTTCATTTTACTATACTGGGCCGTCTTTAAGTAGTCGAGCAGGTACTGAAACGAGTAACTCCCCCATGGGAATTTATCCCACATCTGGTCGTCCTCGAGCAAAGCCCACCAGCAGGTATCAATATACCGAGCCTTCTTGTCGTCATGAGGAATTATAAAGTACACGAGCATTAGCATATTTGCCACTCTCACTATTGGGATTCGAATTCCCCTGGGGGTAGGGTACTACGAAAGGAAGTTGATCATGAGAGAGTGTGGAACTGCCCTGCCTTGAAGTCATCACGCAACTGCTGCATAGTGACCCTCTTGCCTTTATATTTCTCATAGAAAATAGACGATGGAGGAGGAGGAGGCGCTGAGTTCGGGTCAAACGTAGACGATCCAAAAGCAAGCCCGGTCACCACAGCATACTCATGGGCGGAGAATCGGGTTAAATGGTTACCAATACGGAACCACATCTCGTTCGAGTTCTGACCGACACGAGTCACCTCGCGCGAAAGAACCCCATGCATTGCCTTTGCAGAGGCATTAGCCTTATCATCAAATTGGAGGAACGGACCAAAGATCGAGCCCTGGAAAGCAGTCAAGGCCCCTTCAACGAGGCCCAACTTGTTCCTGATATCAGAACATATATAATGTCGGCTGTAAACGTTGATCTTCTGCCATTCATATTTATCGATCAGGCCCTGTCTCTTGTACGACCACAAATCCTAAACAATCGCATTGTTGTTGTTGTTGTTAATTATTCAAATCAAATTACTTATACATTATCAAATAATAATAAAGCAAATGAAATTAAATAACTTAAATTAAATAATTGCAACAAATGGAAGTTACCTCTCCAAAAGAGATGGCCTCCGGACCCGTGCCTTCCGTCGCTGAGTCGCGGCCCGCCATACTCGTTACGGCAGCCGTTGAGTCGTCGGCCGTAGTAGCCGCTGTTAGGGCACCCGCTTGGCCGGCCGTCTCGAGTAAAGCTTGATTCGTGAAATCTTGAGAATCTCTTAAGAATGCCATGACGTCGTTCTTGTTCATCATTTTCGGTTCTTTTTTTCTTTTAAATTTCTAACAGTTCTTTTGCTTCTAACTATGCGAATTAATGTCGCAAGATGGAAGATGGAATTTCAAATTTTTCTCCCCTCTTTCTTTTTTGTCTTCTTCTCCTGAGAGGTGCAACTGTAGCGTATATGCGACGTTTTGCTTTCTTTTTTTCTTTTTGTTTTAAATAATAAACTATACGACAAAATGTGTGAAATAACAGTTGTCGAGTAATGTTCGCGTAAAAAGCGCCATACTTTCGCAATTCCGATGCATTTTAATAAACAAAATAAATATAATGGTTTAGTTTCCATATCTCTTTCGCAGTTTAATACCCTGCGGTAGACCTGCGAATAAACGCATATCCGTCGTGAGACGGTCGCATAAACGGTCACATAAATAATCGCATTTATTAGACCAAAATAATTGTTTAATAATTTTTTTTACAAAAAAAGTGGGTATGCGAATATCCTCTGGTTGACCTGCGAATGAATTATGCGACGTTTATTTGTCGCAATTATGTGTGTCGCAGAATAGAAAATTTCCAAAAACAATTTTTGTTTAAATAAATTCTTCGATTATGCTACGAATGTTGTGCGGTTTGTATGTGAAATTGTTTCGACTAATTGTGGCAGGTTCATTAGCCTAAACTGTTGAATTTTCCAAAAAGTAAATTCTACAAAAAAAAACTTAAATATGCGACGTTTGTATTTCGACTAATTGTCACAGGTTCATTAGCCTAAACTACGTGTTATGCGTTTGTTGTGCGTAATATTTTCGACTAATAGTCTCAGGTTCATTTCTCCTAAACAAGAATTTTCAAAAAATTAAATTCTAAAAAAAATTATTATGCAACAACTAGGCGAATAATACGAGACATTGTATTTCGCAGAATAGAAAATTTCCAAAATAAATTAAAAAAATGAATTATTCTTCATTTATACTACACGAGTGTTTCGCAATGTGTGTCGCAGAATAGAAAATTTCCAAAAATATCTTTTTTTTCTTATTATGCACCAACTAGGCGAATAATATGCGAAGTTTGTATTTCACAGAATAAAAGATCGAACAGAAATCCCTAGACTACTACTTTTACAGTCGCTTCAACCCCAGCCGATTACAAAGTTAAAAAAAAAATCGAAGGACAAGCCAAGCCTAAAAAAAAGCTAGGACGAGGGAGCCGACGAGCTACCACAACACTCAGACTCGAGAAAGAGGAGCTGTAGGTGGATCTTGTTTGTGGAGTTCCATGTAGAACTCCAGCATGAGATCAGCCACGACCACCACGCTCTCAACCGATGGGCTCTGACGGGTTCGGGGAAAAACTCCTTCGATACCAACCACCTTTCTCTATCAGGAGAACCTGGCAGACCACAACCTAGAGAGGTTGAGGCCAGCATTGCCTCTGACAGAGGGCCGGGCCGTTACGCCCCGGCCGCCGACGTGCGCCGTTCCGACCTTCAACCTTCTCACAGTTGATCTGGCAATACCCGGGCCCGGAGGTTTGATCTTCATCATCGTCGTTGTCTCGGCATATATGTTTCCTGCTGGGGCCACGTTAATAAAGTTGGATAGCGGAATTTTCGCTCGTTGAATTTTTTCCTCCGACGAATTCAGAAGGTTAGGAGTTCTCAATTCGGACACAGTAATCTTAAAGAATTGCCTCACGGGTCGAAAGAAAGAATTTTTGTAACTCTGGTTTATCTCCGGCGAACTGCTTCTCATATACAAGAAAAGGGAAAAATGGAGGGCCATTAACAAAAAATTCTGGGGGACGGATGGGTAGTAAGAGAAGTGGCATGATATGGATCGAAGATTACACGCTTTATATAGACGGATGAAACGATTCGCGTTCACGCTTTTATTGCCCAAGCGTTTCGAAAAGCGGATAAGACGCCTCGAAATCGGCCGTAACGTTCCAACTGCCAGCGGTTTCTAAACCATTCAAAAATTTAAATTTTAAAAATAAACTTTCGATGAAAGATGAAAGATGAAAGAAATAAAAAATAAACTTTCGAGTAGAAGCGCGAAGGGGGTATGCGAGCAATATGCGGTAATTCGCATACCCCATCGCATAACTGAAATAACAGAAAGATGAAAGAAATAAAAAATAAAATTTCGAGTAGAAGTGCAAAGGTGGTATGCGAGCAATATGCGGCAATTCGCATATCCCATCGCATAACTGAAATAACTGAAAGATGAAAAAAATAAAAAAAATAAATAAAAAATACACTTTCGAGTAGAAGTGCGAAGGTGGTATGAGAGCAATATGCGACAATTCGCATACCGCCTAGCATAACTGAAAGATGAAAGAAATACGAAAAAAAAAACTTATTATGCACCAATTATGCGAATAATATGCGACGTTGGTATGTCGCATAATAATTTTTTCGACTAATAGCCGCAGTTCATTCGCATAACAATAATAATTATTTAATGGGTGACGGACCGCGATTGACCGAGTCGTACATCGAATCTCCGCATATTCGTCGCATACTTTAACTCATAATTTTCTCACCCATGCTCATACCGGTCGTCTATCTATCGTATAGTTTTTCGCATATCTCTTCGTACATTTTGGGGTGAAAAACTTAACTTTTTATTGGGTGGTGTGAAAAACTTAGCAGGACTTCAAAATGGGGTGAAAATAGTTATTTCCTCTTTTTGGAGTTGCCTCGGTTGG